AATTAGGTCTACGATTCAATGACGCAATGTTTACCCATAACCTATGATATAATTTTGAAAGATAACAACATGTGAAATATTTGTTGCAAATAAAATTGTTAATGAAATGCACCTACTAGTTATTTAAGGTGTAATTTTCGCAGTCTATTGTAGTAGTTGTAGCTGAGTATAGACTTGGCATTCTACTCTTCCTTGTTTTAGCATGTCATGCATTTGAGCCAAAAGTTTTCTTTATTTTTACCGTGGTGGGATTATAGTTGGGTTCTGGCTTAATGTAAAAAAGCTTTATTTGGACTGTGAAATTAACATGAAATGAGAGGAATTAATTAATGATAATTAAGATTAAACATTATTTATAAGGAGTTTAGGTAAATAAGCAATGTATTCTTTTTATTATATAGTGCAACATACTGCCACTTATTTGCTGCTAATAAATATATCTGGTGCAGCAAAATACAAAAGCTTAAAGTAGAAACAAGCATAAATATAATCTTTAGTCTGCTTTTCCACAGAAAATGAATTAATTTTAAAGAATCTAATCTGAGATGTAAATCTAATCCATAAATTTGTCACTTGATGAATTTGTAGGTGATTTTTGAAACTGTCTGAGTACTGTGTGAAGAATTGTAAGGCTCGAGTTGTCTATCGATGATATTATAATATTATGGTCTTTATAACATTAAGCAAAGCCAAACATAAGTGTTTTTTTTTTCATGGTGCTATAATTAGTATTTTGCCCCTTCAAGCATATCATTTAAGAAGTTATTTCTCAGATTAACCCAGTAATGCCCGAATTTTTTTATTTTTTATTTTTTTAAGTTTGGATATATAATATTGTTCAATGATGAGTTCTTATCAACTTAGCATAAATTTTATTTTTCCAAATATATTAGAAGTTGGAGAAAATTCACGTGTCCAAATGGACACACTAAGCACTTACAATAGCTAAGGATTTGAGAAATTTATCTTGAAGTATGCAGTTAGATAAAAAGAAACAAAAACATTATAACGGTAGGTGTTTATTACTTCTGGTGATACATTGCAAAACATGGTATACATAGGCCAACGTCACACTTCATACATTCTGTTCTTGCAGAAGAACTCTTTGATTTGCAGTACGGGCCGACGCATCTTCTTTTTTTACACACTATCGAACGTAATGATTTATGCTGTCAAACCGCGCTGTATCAGCCAGTTTGGACGTAGAAGGTCTGCCTGCACCTTTAGCAGCTATGCCATAAGTTTTTAGGTAGGTAAGAACAATTTCTCTTCGAAATTCCAGCTGTGGCATCTTATCTTTCTTTCTCTGAAGTTGCCAAGCATTATGCACGCATGCATCTAGCATCCAAGTAAATAGCGACCAGTACCACTTCTTTCCTCTGATGTGTATCCTATACATGTTTATATTTTCATCCATCCTGTCAACTCCACCCATATATTTATTATACTCACCCAGAAGAAATGGTCATGGCACTTGAACAAATGATTTATCTTTTTGGGAATACCGTTTCACGGTAGTCAGCGGTTGCACGCCCAAATTGTTAGATGCGATGCAAACCATTGAATTATCCATCCATTTTGCTACAAGGACACCATCTTCTTTGCTAATCGCAGATTCATAATAACCTCTTGGCTTTTTCTTCAACATTTTATTCGAAGTCAATTTTTGACACTTCTGCAGGCGGTTTTCCCGCACTGTGCCTGTAGCTCCATATCCTTGCTGTCTAAAGTAGTTCAGAAGATTCAAGCTTGTAAAAAGATTGTCAAAGAAAAAATGATAAGGCATTTTCTTTTTTTCATCGGTAAACTCGTCGATAAATGTTAGAAGAGGAGTGGCACATTTTCCAAAGTGCTGTTCATAAAGTGGATTGGCATTTGGAACCTTGCCTTGATAAACTTCAAAATTTATCAAGTAACCATCTGGAGTACACAGGCTCCATATCTTGTAGCCGAACCGGATGGGTTTTCCTCTGATAAATTGCTTACAGGAATGCTGGCCATAATATTTGACCATAGTTTCGTCGAATGACAGATTTTGTTCAGGGACAAAATGTTTCATAAAATTAGCCTTTATTTTATTTACTAAAGGGCGCAACTTCCACATTTTGTCATTCACGTCTAATTCATTATTATCGACACAATGCATGAATCGCATTATCTCCTCAAATCTGTTGCGCCGCATAGAGTTGCAAATAAGCTCATTGCGGGTATCTATCTCCGTGCTCCAATAGAGCCGTCTGTTAGCATTGGGCGAATACCCACTCAAAATGAGAATAGCAATAAAGCATCGCATTTCAGCAGCTGTGATCTTAGGATCAGGGCAGTTTTTCCATAAAGCATAGCGATTTGATTGCAGAATAAACAGTCAATAATGTCGTGATCAATAAAAAGCTCAAACAAATCGACGGCTGATTGACTAGCGATGTCAGTTGCAATCTCTGGAAATGATCCCAAAAATGGTTCTAAGGTTCCATCGATCCATGTTCTCGCTTTTCTGCCACAAAGATCGTCAAAATGAAGAGTGTCTCTGTAAGTTTGGTATCGTTGCTCAAACCTTACCTCCGCACCAGCTGTTAATTGCCGAGCATTCAAGTTCTCGGCTCTTCCACCACTATCTTCGTCACCTGAATCCTCGTCCGTCAAAATAGCTGGATCAGGAGGAGCTATAAAAATTGATTCTGGTATCGGAGATTCACCAGAACCTTCTTCATCTTCGCACAATATATCAAGAATTTCATTTAGGGAGCCGTTACCCAGAAATTGGTTGAAATCGAAGAATCTGAAAATAATACATTACTTTTTGTAATGCAATGCTTAGTGCCTAGCGTGTCCTTATGGACACGGCAACTTCAGTGTTATAAATATTATGCTAAATCAAATCTAAGCAATATTTTACCATTTTGTAGACATAACTCAATTATGTCTTAGTAATTTAGCACAAAAATAACATAAATAAAACCAATATTTTGAAAATAATATTACTTACTCTCTTCTCGGATCCATATTTCACCGTAACTGAGATTAGCGGCAATTAAATGATTAAACCCGCGAATCAACATTATATTATGACAGTGACATGTAATAAAACTTTGACATTTAGTGGTATAGTATAAACAATGAAATGTTTAAAATTAAATAAAGTGTATATTAAGCATTTAAATTTACCCATATTTTTGTGTCCATATGGACGTGCTAGGCATTACTGGGTTAAGTGGATACTCTTTGTTCTTTCTAATTTTTGACAGTTCTATAAAAACTGGCTTGAAAGCTTGTTTAATATAATACATAAATAAGTTTTTCACATTCATTTTATGCATATAAATATAACTTTGTTAAACATTAATAATATTATATCATGCAAATGACTAAAATTTACAATTTCTTCTAGTATTTTAGTTTAGCTGACTAATGGCTCATTCAGTTCAAATTATTAAATTGAGAATAACTTCTTAATATTTTAATAAAGTTTCTCATAGGTTTTAAGTTTAAACATTTATGTGTAAACTTCAATATAATTTTCAATTAATTGATCATACTCATTAAGCTGACTAATGGCTCATTATGTTGATGATTTTTACAAATTTTTTACTATTCATTTAATTGTTCAGTTATTTTTAAATACCCCATATTGATTTTTATAGTAATAATAATATATTTACAATATTTCTTTATAATTTTTCTTAATATTTAAACTGTAAGATTTAGGTCTAATATGTAAAAGTCTAATAAAATAGATAAACTTTATGACAAGCCTTATTTCAAAATACTTTTTCATTTTTATTCTGGCTTTGCCAGACTTAATAAAACTTACTGACATTAAACAATAATTGAACACAATTTTTAATATAAATTAGAGAATATTTAACTGCCATTAAAAATATCTTTTCTATAAATACCTAGGTTTATACTACATATAATGTCACTTTAAAAACCGAATTTGTAATCCTTTAATCAGTTGAAACCATCTAACTCTATAGGTTAAAGCCTATAATTAATATATTAAATAAAATTTACCCTAATTCCCTTTTCTTAAAAGCAAACTTGAAGTTATAGCAGGACAATAATCTTTCCTCTGAACTTTTACACAACCTTCACATTGGAATTGCACTACCCACACTAAAATGTAATGTACAGCAATGTTTATGTGTATATACATCACAAACTAATTTTTTTTTTTTGAAAATATGAATTCCAAAACTTCAATACATTTTTTTAGAGAAATTTAATTTACTTTCTTAATGTAATTTTTTTTTATAATCATTTCTCAAATTGGCTGTTTATGTTGGCAACAAGTGATTGACTTACCATAAAAGCTCAATCCTTCGACCGACATTATGAATTTCTTTATTTTTGTACAAAAAAAAAAAGAAGTTTGTTAAACTCATACTATTTATAATTTTCAGTGTTCTATGGTATTTACTAATGTAGCAATACAGTGTGGCTGATCAGGGCAAGACTATCTTATTCAATACTTACATGTGGGAATACAGTTATTTATTATTGTCAAACTGTATTGTAGAATGCAGAACTGTTAATCTCCTTACATATATTTTTTATGAATAAGACCATAATATTATCATGTCAAGAGCATAATGCCAAGCTAAGTTTAAAAAAATGTTTTTAAGTTAGGTTACTAACAATAAGGATAGGTTTTTGTGTTGGTCTTTTGCAATCAAATCATTCATCATGTGAATTTATAAAATTTTCAGTAATTATTCATCATTACGAACATCATTGCAATCCACATAACTCATAATGTTTTTTAAGTAATTTGATTATGATTTTATTTTCAGTTCCTTGGATTTACTGATCTCGAGTCTGCACTGACGTTGAGACATATAGATAAGCAAGAACAATCTTCAATGAATAATTAAACATTTTACCTAAGCACCTACAAATTAAGACTTCTACATATTATAATAAATAAAAGATATGACTCTTTCTTGAAATATTTTATTTTATTCCTATATAATTAGCATGTAAAATTTATTTCTAATAAGTTATGAAGGACTGCTTAGGCATGCCATCAGCAACTCCATCTTATTAAGAAAGTTTTTGCCTTCCATTTTTTCTAATTTGATTTCCTTGAAGGCACCACCTAGGTTCTCCCATTTCTTATCTTGTACTAATTCACTTGCGAAGAAATCTTTCCTGGGAGACTGAGCTATGAAGACTTGGATACCAACTGATGGTTCACACCTTATCGCTATCATTCTGTCACCTGCAACAAGAACAATTTATTAATTAACTTTGTTCTTCAAATGCCATGTAATAGGGCTTTTAAGAGAATATTCGGGCTACAATTTGAAGAATAGTAATATTAAACAATCTATTGCCGTCATGATATGTCTGAATGTGAGAGCTGACAACTGCAGTTTGGACCCTTTTACCTATGAATAACCCTTCTCTCTGCTTTACCCATAGTCTGGTGAAAATTGAAGAAACCCAAAAAGTATTCCCTATGGAGTGTAAAAGTAAGGAGTACTAACTCCCATAGTAGAATAGTTGAAAAAGTGGTCAGCTGTAAGCAGTAGCGCTGGAGTTAGCTACTGGGATGAAATGCACTTAGCAGTTGTCGACGGTTTAAGTGTGCTGCAAAACTACTCAGTAGCTCTAAAATCGAAAATAATTTTATTTAGTAAATATAACCTCTTAAAAAGTCTTCTATCCCACTAATATTTTACGGTGCGTTATTTAAAATTTACCCTGTTGCTATAGTGGCGCCACCTTATTTAAAGGTTTTTATGGACACTAATACACAGACTGTACTTCTACACTCCATAGTATTCCCGTATAGTCTACAACTGAACTGACATATTTTTTATGTTAGTTAAATTTAAAGTTTTAGTAATTTCAAAAAGTTTAGTTTTAGTAAATAAAAATGGCAGTGGTAGATAGGTATATATTGGACCGTAAAAAAATAAGTTAAATATTAAAAGCTGATTTCAAAAAACTAAAAAATATTTATTAGGTTTTAAATCTTTTACGTTACGTTTTGTTTAGCACTTTATTATTTTATATTTGAAAGGACAAAGGAATATTAAAATCTTAATGTCGCCTAAATAGTTAAAACTTCATCCACTTTTTGCATACTCCTGAAGTATAACCCATTTACCGAAAAAATTGCCAAAATCGATTCTCAATTAGCAAAGATACCGCGTAACATACATACAAATAAAAAATTATAAACCTGTATCCAGTGAGAAAACAGGGGTACATTTTTATGGACTAAACAGAACGGACCAGATATTCTCTTTTTACCGATAAGGGCCCGATCCTCATTATAATGCTGTTCACACTTTGTTCTCGGTCTGATAAAATCTTGTCAAGTAAAAAATATGTGTGTGTATTCAGACCTTGTCAACATAATGATTTCTTACATTTACGCGAATACTACACAGCACCTATCATAATCAAGCATACCACTGCAAGACTTCAATATATTGTAAGCTCGTTGTGCGTAGATCGGACCAAAAATTAAAAATTTATATTCAAAACTGAAGTCGGCTAACTAGACATTGGGACATCAAGCATCAGTCCCCCGTGACAATGGGTGCTGTAAAGCACCCGAAACGTCGGAAATTAAAAACATGTTAATTAAACCCGATAAATAAAAAATTTAAGTAAATTTAAGAAATCATTATGTTCACAAGGTCCTGAAAGACACACTAAAATTAATTCACTTTTGCCATTGAAGCAAAGAATGAAGATAAGTTGTTAGCTTACATACTTATGCTTATACTTATAACCGCTAAAAAGAACCCCTTTGTCGTATCTCCTCAGTTTCAAGGCACTCCCCTTGTTGCCTCAGCCAGTATCGGAATCCTCGGCGTCGACATATCGAGTGACGTGCAGTTTCGTGGTCACTTGGAAGAGCCAAAAAAAGGCCAAATAGGCCTCTAAAAAGCTTGGCATGCTCAGCAGAGCGGGACAGTATTTCATGCCGGCACACCGTCTGCAACTTTACAAGGCGCAGGTTCGGCCGCACATGGAATACTGTTCCCATCTCTGGGCTTGGGCTCCCCAGTACCAGCTCGTTCCGCTTGACCGCATCCAGCGCAGAGCGGCTCGAATCGTCGACGACCGAGTGCTTTCCGATCGGCTCGATTCACTGGCACTACGAAGAGATATTGCATCTCTTTGCATTTTCTTTCGCATATACCATGGAGAGTGCTCTGAGGAATTGTTCGGATTAATCCCAGCCGCCAAATTTCGTGAACGCACTACGCGGCAAACGTCCCGATACCATCCACACCATCTGGATGCTTGGCGGTCCACCACTGTACGTTTCAAAAGGAGTTTTCTTCCGCGTACAACCTCTCTGTGGAATAGTTTACCACCGGCGATTTTTTCGGACCGATACGACCTAGGGACCTTCAAGAAAAGAGCTCACTCTTTTCTAAAGGGCCGGCAACGCACCTGCAATTCCCCTGGTGTTGTGGTTGATCATGGGTGGCGGTAGTCACTTAACATCAGGTGAGCCGCATGCTCCTTTGCCCCCTCTTCTATTAAAAAAAAAACTTATACTTGCTCCCATACTGAACACACTGAAAGAAGGTGTTTAGTATATGAGCAGTGTAATCAGTTTGGGAGCAAGTGTTTTAAAGAAGGGATTAAGTGTTCAGTTTAAGATGTGTTAGCTTGTTTAGTTTAGGTAGTGTTAGTTGGTTTGCGGGTGTGTTCAGTTTGGGAGCAAACATGTTCCAGTTTTAGGGTGTGTCAGTTGCATCAGTTGGCGTGCGGCGGGCTTGGGGTGCGTACCGGCGGGCGAGGCCAGCAGACAGGTGGAGGCGTTGGCAAGCGGCTCGACGGGCCCCGAGCCCAGGTGCGCCGAGCTGGCCAGCAGCTGCCAGCCCATGCAGCGCCCCACCGCCTGCACCGCCGTCATCTGGTGCTGGTAGATCTGCGGACCACACCCCTACCTTAATATTTTTATGGTCATTTCCGAATGTTCGAAAGATACTAAGTGGGGGGTACACACCACGCGCAAAACCTCCTTACTCCTAAAAACGCTTAGGCCATAAGATAAGAGACAGTTACACATTAGCAGCGATTGAAAATCGGTTCCAAATTTCGGTATAATTCTTCAATAAGGATAGGTCCTTATGGAAAAACCGTTAATAACATTCTAACCCTTATTTAACCTATAGAGTCTCAGTTCAAAACATCGGATCGGATCGGATTGTTCTTGGGTCTACATGTGACATGTAGACCCCAGAGAACAATTCTTTTTTAAATGTTGTTTATAAGAATTACATTCAGAATAAAATTCAAAAAAAATTATAATTTTCTTGTTACTAAATTACGAGAGTTAATATTACACGAGAAATAAATTAAGAAAATTAACTTTAAATGAACAATTATGCTATTTTACCATTAAAACTACGTTGACTTCATAGGTCGATGTAGTACTTCATAGACTGTGTAGATGGCGTTGTTACAAAATGGTTTTATTAGAAAATTGGTTTCAAAAAAATTTACCTTATAGTTGCCAATTTATTTGAAAACCTATAAAACGGGAGTACTTATCTATTGATTTTAAAATACTACATATGTTGTTTTTTTTCAAATGAAATAACTCTGTAACAACGCCATCTACACGGTCTGTCAACTAGGTACTACATTGACCTGTGAACCCGACGCAGTTTATTCAATGGCGCTGTTATTACACTGCATAGGCTCCACACATTAGTTGAGAGGAACTTATTTTGAGAATCAAAAAATATTATTGAACTTGGCCTGACCACAGGTCTGACTGTGTTGGTCCGATACAATGCAGAGATCCGAGAGGTTAAAAAAAATCTTAACTTTCTATACTTGTCGGGTTTTGATTTCAGTTTAGAGGTTGGTTAGATCCTGGTTCCAAAATATCGAAAAATTTTAAGTTCCTAGTCGAAAGGGGAAAAAAGCCTGTGTAGCATTACAGTTAAGCTTTATTTTTGTAATATTACTACGTTCGTAATTTATTTTATAACTCTCACTCAATGAACTCAACTCGTTCTTCACTCTTTTTAGGGTTCCGTAGTCAACTAGGAACCCTTATAGTTTCGCCATGTCTGTCTGTCCGTCCTCGCTTAATCTCTGTGACCGTTAGCACTAGAAAGCTGAAATTTGGTACCAATATGTGTATCAATCACGCCGACAAAGTGGTAAAATAAAAATTGGAAAAAAAAATGTTTTATTAGGGTAGCCCCCCCTATATGTAAAGTGGAAAGTGATTTTTTTTTAATTTCAACCCTAACGTGTGATATATTGTTGGAAAGGTATTTAAAAATGAATAGGGGTTTACTAAAATCATTTTTTGATAATGTCAATAATTTCGGAAACAATCGCTCCAAAAGTAAAAAACAATGTGTCCCCCCCCCCCCTCTAACTTTTGAACCATAAGTTTAGAATATATCAAAAAAATCTGAAAAGTAGAACTTTATAAGGACTTTCTAGGAAAATCATTTTGAACTTGGATGGAAACAACAGTACCCACTGGTTGCGCGGAAAACCATTCGCGTTTTTTATTTTGACGGTAGGAACTTGTAGAATCATTATTTCCTTTCCAAACAATATCATTCGTACCCTCCTATCGACACATCGGGGTGGTGGGGTGGGAGGGGAAAGAAGACGATTCTAGAACATCGCGTAATCACCCGAGCCGAGGATATATAAGACACGCGCGACCGATGCGCGAGCCTCTTCTCCCGCCGCAGTCGTCGTTGAACCAACTCTTCTCTCCTGACGCACCACTGGGGCCCCAGAAGTGTCTGTCCAGAGGAGGTTCCGGAAGTCGCCGCTATAGTGATCGACAGGAAGAAGAAACCCCGGTGAGTCAATATTCCTTAATTATACCTGCTTGCTAATAATTTAACCCGCTCCAATCTGTGTTTTTTTCCTAGTCAAGCAGGATTCCTTTCATCGATTCGACAAGTAATAGTTTAGTTTAGGGAAGAGCGAGTGCATTGTACCGCATGCTATAGTAGTCGCCTTATGTAAGCGTAGAAGCAATCGCATATACAGTCCACTTTAGTTGATATCTCGCGTAATAGGTTTGAGGTTTGACCGGGGAACTAGATTTTCGGCAGCCTTAAACACGTGGCTCCACCATTTTATGGTCACTTCGGCAGGATCTGGATTGGTGTTTAGTGGTTATCCAACCATTTTCTGGTCGAATTATTAAATTAATTGTTTAGATAACGCACTCTAATTTATAGAATAGACTTAAATAGTGTTCGTTTAAATTAAAATTTTGATTTGTTACTCGCAAACAGAATTATTCATTTAATAGCGCTCGTATTTGGTTAAATTTAAAGCTTATTAAATAATTGAAACGGCGTGATAGCAACCGTTTGATACGCTTACCCCACAATTTTATAAAATTATTAGGTTTAGCAAACGACGCGTAGCCTTGACTGCATCGGGCGCTCGATCTGATTACGTAATACGGCACGCCGAGTATTCATCCTACGTCGTTTATGCGTGTGAGATTAATTGTGATTAATATAACTTTATTATAATAATTTAAAATGGCAGTTAGTGGAAGTGAAATCAAAATTAAAACGCTTTATGCCAAGAGGGACATACTCTTTTCGCGTATGCAGAATATAAGTGATTATATAAAGAACATTCATATAGAGGCAGTACGGGAGGCCTTTTTAAATGAAATCGAAACGATAGATAATTTGCGGACAGATTACGAAAGAATATTAGATCAAATTAATCATTCGGAACTACAAACCGACCCGAAATACATAGTGAACTACCAACCGCTGCTGGCATTCGAAGATATGTTGTGTCGCGTGAAGAGAACCGCAAAATTGCTACAATCTCAAGGTGAAGCGAAGCCTGAAATGCAGGTACGCCCTCGTGACTCAATTAGGTTACCGCCAATAGATATTCCGGTATTCAATGGTGATATTAAGACGTGGCCCTTCTTCTTCAGTAGTTTTCAAAACAATATACACAACAACCCATCGTTATCGGACGCTGAAAAATTATATTACTTAATTAGCAAACTTAGTGGCAGAGCACAGTCGATCTGCTCGGGTTTTACACCTACGGCAAACAATTACGTACTAATATTTGAAACGCTTAAAACTAAATATGAAGATAGGAGAATGTTAGCTTCCGAATATTTGAACCAGATATTCGATCTTAAACCTATATCATCCGCGAACATCAACGGCTTAGAGCAGTTTCTCGATAAATTTGTGGCATCGGTGGCTGCACTTAAGAATTTGAAGTTTAATGACCTCATGGACGTGGTGTTTCTCCATATAGCATTAAAGAAATTAGACTCCGACACCGTGCGTGCGTTTGAAATGGAGCATCGTAGCTCGGAGATGCCTTCCTTTCATTCATTAGCATCGTTCGTGCGAGATCAAATAAAGGTGATGCAGCGCTCACCGAACGTTAAACAGGAGATTAAAAGGTGCGTCGACCGTAGACAGACTCAACCATCTAAAATAGCAGGGTCGTTAACTTACGTAACCGCTACGCCGACATCGCTCCAGCATACTTGTATAGTATGTAAAGATAAACACGGTAATTTATATAACTGTGCGACTTTTCGTAAATATTCACCAAGCGAACGTTATAAGTTAGTAAAAACAAACAACCTATGTTTGAACTGCTTAAGCGATAAGCATTTAGTTGCAAAATGCAATTCGAGTTCCGTATGTAGCAAGTGCGCCAGGAAACATCACACGCTATTACATTTTGAAAATAGCAACATAGCGGCGTCAAGTAAGGCGAATAAGGAATTCACCCCTACTAAGGTCAACGATTCTAGCGGTCGACCTGGTGATGTCGCTCTGTGCTCATTGGCAAATATGGGAGCACAACCTCCTTCAACCGTGTTACTGGGTACGGCGCGTATTTTGGTTAGGGATTCGCGTGGAAACAAACAAAGCGTCCGTGCACTGCTGGACAGCGGAGCCCAAAATAGCTTTATAACACGACAATGTTGTCAGCGCTTAGGCTTAGTAATAAATAGGTCACTTTCATGTCCTGTAGTTAAAGGCATCGGAGGTACTAGTAAAGCGACACAGGGATATATAAATTTAAAATTTTATTCTCGGATAGATCGTAACGTTAACTTTGATATAAATGCACTAGTAGTAGATAGGGTCACTGAACGGTTGCCAACCGTTTCGGTTGACACCTCGGCAATGATTGAATTTAAAAATTTGACTCTAGCAGACGACACTTACGCCGTTCCTGGAAACATAGACATGCTCATTGGGGCATCGCTTTTCCCTCATCTTTTGTTAAACAATAAGGTCAGGAGCAACTCCTCGCATACCGCGCCTTACGCACTGGAAACCGTATTGGGCTATGTGATCCTTGGCTCCGCCCCCATCCTAGATAGTATTTCGGCAGCCTCTTATTGTGGTATGGCTGTCGAACCGCTCGAGTCGTTAGTCCGCAAATTTTGGGAGATGGAGGAGGTGAACGTCCCACCCATAGCTAGTTCAGATGACAGGATATGCGAGGAAATTTACGTCCGCACGACCGTTCGTGATCGCGACGGTAGATATAGTGTAGCGCTACCCTTTAAGGGAGATGTTTTATCTCTCGGCGATTCGCGTCAAATGGCGGAAAAACCTTTCTACAGCTTGGAGCGTAGGATGCTCGCTTCGCCCCAGTTAAAGGAAGCTTACGACGGCGTCATTAACGAATATATAAGAGAAGGTTACATATCACTTGTGGCTTCGAAATTAGATAACTACGAAGACACACCGTCGTATTTTATACCACACCACGGAGTCATTAGAGAGGACAAACTTACATCTAAATTACGTGTAGTGCTCGACGCTAGTGCTAAAACTAGCACTCACCTGTCGCTTAACGATATCCTCTATAGTGGGCAAAATTTACAGGGCAGTTTATTTGATATAATAGTCAATTTTCGTTTGTTTAGTATAGCACTATCCGCCGATATTCGCCAAATGTTTCTTTGCATAGGGGTCCGTGAATGCGACCGTAGATTCCAGCGCATTTTATATCGTTTCCACCCAAAGGAACCTCTAATGGTGTTAGAATTTAACCGCGTTTGTTTTGGTTTAAAGTCAAGCCCATTTCATGCGTTACGCACGGTGAGACAGCTCGCTCACGATGAAGGTCCCTCTTATCCTAAAGCTAAGAGGGCAATTGAGAGCGGATTATATATGGATGATTTTGTGTATTCGGTCGATAGCGTGGAGGAGGCCACCCTAACCACCGCCGAGGTTATAAGGCTCATGAAATCGGGTCAATTCGATCTTGTGAAGTGGACTAGTAATTCGCGTCCGGTTTTAGATACAATCCCACTATCACACCGTCTTTCGGCGATAAAGGAATTCGACGATTCCGATACACACAAGGTGCTCGGTCTGTGTTGGTCACCAGAGTCCGACGTGTTTAGCCTTAAGGTAAATCCGCCCGTAGAGAAATGCACAAAGCGCACAATACTGTCATGCGTTGCTAGATTATGGGACGTCATGGGTTTCGTAGCTCCGGTGGTATTATACGCTAAGCTTTTGATTAAACAACTTTGGTTATTTGAATGCGATTGGGATGACTCGCCGCCTGACAGCATTGTTCGATTGTGGCAGCGCTTTAGAGAGGAACTTCCTTTACTAAGAGAAATTAAAATACCGCGTCATATAAATGTCGATAGAAATAGCAGCATAACGGTTGTTGGATTTGCAGACGCCAGCGAGAAGGCTTACGGGGGCGTTGTATATTTCCATGTCCAGAATAATGGTAGAAATTCGATTAGCCTCATTAGTTCTAAGTCGAGAGTCTCCCCCCGTAAGGTTGTCTCTCTGGCGCGCTTAGAGCTTTGCGCAATATTAGTACTCACCAAGCTTATTACCACAGTTATCGGCGCATGTAGGGATAGAGTTCACATAGAAAGAATATTTGCCTTTTCCGACTCCACCGTCGCCTTATGTTGGGTTCATTCTTCACCCCACCGTTGGGATACGTTTGTCGCGAACCGAGTGGCCAAGATCCAAGACGAGTTAGAAACGCGGAACTTTTATCACGTGTCCGGTAAGGAAAACCCTGCCGATTGTCTATCCCGGGGACTCACCCCGATGCAAATAATGGACCACCCGCTTTGGTTCCATGGACCTTCTTGGGTTCACTTGGATCCCTCACAATGGCCAATAACCGATTTCGAACCTTCGTCAGTGTCACAACCGCCGGAAGAGAAGAGACACGCTCTAGTGGCGAACGTTTCGAGCGAGGTTTCTCCAATCATTGCTCTGGCGAACCGCTTGTCCTCTTGGTCGAAATTATTGCGTAGCGTAATTTACGTTTGTCGATTCGCGAAGCTTTTACCGCGACGTCCGTATGTCTTAGCATCCGATTACAACTATGCCGAGTCGCTAGTATTACGTGAACTTCAACGTGCGCACTTCTCTGAAGAAATTACAAGATTACAATCGAATAGAGCTTGTAGTCGCGCCTTTCAACGCCTTAAGCCATTTTTACAGGATGGGATTGTAAGGGTAGGTGGACGCTTGTCCAACTCGCAATTGAGTTTCGACCAACGGCACCCTATAGTTTTACCGCGTAAAGACCATATCATGAACTTATTAGTCGATTATCATCATAAATTGAACTCGCACGCTGGCCCCGATTTATTGATGTCGATCTTGCGTCAGAATTATTGGATTCTTTCTGCACGTAGTTTAATACGCAATCGGGTGCACAGATGTATAGCTTGCTTTCGGGCACGCCCCAAGCCGTCATTTCCGGAAATGGCGGAACTTAGATCTTGTAGAGTGATACAATCGGTAAAGCCCTTCACGCACACCGGGTCTGATTTTGCTGGTCCGTTTAAGGTCACGCTCACTCGCGGGCGTGGTATAAGATCCACAAAGGCTTACGTCTGCATTTTCGTATGTCTAACTACTCGAGCAGTGCATATAGAACTCGTTGGTGATCTAAGCACAGCAGGCTTTATGGGTGCATTTAAAAGATTTCTATCGCGCAGAGGCCCTGTAAGTAAATTATATTCGGATAACGGTACGAACTACGTCGGTGCAAAACGTATTCTATCGGAACTACACGAGCTCTTAGCTAGCAAGTATTATAATTCGGAGTTCGCTCACATTCTAGCCGAGAACCGCATTGAGTGGTCTCTGAACGTCCCAGCCGCGAGTCATTTTGGGGGCAATTGGGAGACTAATATTAAAAGTCTAAAGAGCCACTTATACCGAGTAATAGGAGATCAAATTTTGTCCTTCGAAGAGCTAAGTACGGTGCTCGCTCAAATTGAATGCGTAATGAATAGCCGCCCACTTTGTCGGACGTTATCTAGTGACCCCTCGGAACCGCTGGCTCTAACTCCAGCACATTTTTTGACTTTAACGCCTCTAAGGTATCTGCCCGCCGCGGATATGGATGAGAACAGACTTAGCATTTCCACACGCCACAAATTATTAGATCGGTTAGTGCAATCGTTTTGGAAACGATGGAGGATGGAATACTTGCATACTTTGCAGTCTCGGCAAAAATGGAACACAGCGACAGAGCCTTTAGCTGTAGGAACCGTAGTTGTGCTCACTAAGGAGAATACGCCGCCTCTCCACTGGCCGTTAGGAATCGTCGAGGAGGTCTTTCCCGGTTCCGACGGAGTAATTAGGATAGCTCGCGTTAAGACCACGGTTGGGTCTTACCTACGTCCTGTTATCCGTTTGTGCCCCTTGCCTCTTCCATAATTTAAATTAGCTTTCTAGACTGAAATTGTAGTTTAATTTAGGTAATCTTAGCGTTAGTTAGTTATTTGTTAGTCGATCTTAGCTCTAGTTGTTTAGTTATTTTTTTTTGAAGGAAATCCTTCAAGGGCGGGGGGAGATGGTTGCGCGGAAAACCATTCGCGTTTTTTATTTTGACGGTAGGAACTTGTAGAATCATTATTTCCTTTCCAAACAATATCATTCGTACCCTCCTATCGACACATCGGGGTGGTGGGGTGGGAGGGGAAAGAAGACGATTCTAGAACATCGCGTAATCACCCGAGCCGAGGATATATAAGACACGCGCGACCGATGCGCGAGCCTCTTCTCCCGCCGCAGTCGTCGTTGAACCAACTCTTCTCTCCTGACGCACCACTGGGGCCCCAGAAGTGTCTGTCCAGAGGAGGTTCCGGAAGTCGCCGCTATAGTGATCGACAGGAAGAAGAAACCCCGGTGAGTCAATATTCCTTAATTATACCTGCTTGCTAATAATTTAACCCGCTCCAATCTGTGTTTTTTTCCTAGTCAAGCAGGATTCCTTTCATCGATTCGACAAGTAATAGTTTAGTTTAGGGAAGAGCGAGTGCATTGTACCGCATGCTATAGTAGTCGCCTTATGTAAGCGTAGAAGCAATCGCATATACAGTCCACTTTAGTTGATATCTCGCGTAATAGGTTTGAGGTTTGACCGGGGAACTAGATTTTCGGCAGCCTTAAACACGTGGCTCCACCACCCACTACCGGGAGCAGTTGCAGGAGCGCGGAGCGCTGCTGGAGCGCGAACATAATGGATACCCACCTTTAAACTCATAAGTGGGAACACTTATTGTGACGGACGGGAAACTACGGAACCCTACACTGAGCGTGGCCCGACACGCTCTTGGCCGGTTTTTTTCTTGTTTCGTTCGTTTATCGATTAAACGAATTTATTACATGCTTGATGGTACTAGTTAGTACCTAAACTACTAAATAGCGGTACATCCGACACTTTACCTTAAGTTAACTTAATTTTTGTATTTTTGGCCGTCAATGGTCATCATATATTATACAATAAAATTATGATTTAAAAGGACAACCAATTTTTATACCACATTTCTAGTTTTAAGCTCTGTTTAAAGTTTAAATTCGAATCATCGATTCAAATATGTGTACCGTACGAACGCAGTGATTATATATTGTATTGACATCCAGTTTTGAGCTATTTTTAAAATTTTAAGTCTAGCAGCTAGAACACTAGCAAGCAAACTAACTTTCCGTGAGCTAGACTCTAGCTCACCGGGAAGTTAGTTTACTTGACATATCAATTGCAAAATTTGTAGCAAACCGACAAGAAAGCGAGTTAAAAAACGTGGTAAGATACATATTTGCGATTTTTTAACACATTCATTACTTTTCATAATTACAGGTAGAGGTAGGTATTATATTTTTCGACTTGATTTGAAGCAATGCGGAAAGCAAGCGCATTTTAGCTATAGCTACAGAATCTTGCAACTATCATGACTTTATAACTAATGTGCCAGTCAGTCAATAATTCAACAAACCTGACAATATATGAGATCTCTCAACTCCTGCAACTCGTACGACAGATGGCGCACTTTGCCATCGCGGCAGATGCATTTTAGTGTCTTCTCGCCCACGTGTACCACCAGAGAAGTTCGGCAAACCGCGTCATACCTGATATTAATTAAATTGTTCATAATCATTATATCTATTAGTCTTGCAATCATACTTTCTATTTCTCGTAGCTAACTTTAAAATATCTCTCAAATTTAGACACTTAACATCTCTAATTCAAAATGATTCCAAAATTTGTGTAGCTCTGGGCGGTCTCTTAATAAATTTCGATTTTTTTTCCTATATTTTTTTCGAATATTGTTCAAGCAAACAATTTATAAATATGTAACGGGCAGAGCTCATAATAAAAACTTATAATCTTGAATGTTACATACAATTTATTTTTGCAAAGTTTATGGATGGGTAGGCGTCTCCCTACCAAGCTATATCCCATTTGTTTATATTATGTTATACAATCAACAATTTAATCACCACAACTTATATTGTAGACTGCTATTTTTTTTTCAAAAAAAATATTGTCCCAATATGTTTGTTGCTGGTTCTTCCCAGGACAGAGGTATTTTTGAAACAATGGTAAATTAAACTGAAAATTGACTTTCAATAAGTATTATAATACAATCTATGTTGAATAAATAACTTTCTGTTTCCGTCATATAATCTTATATAATTATTTTTTTCATTATGAAAGAGTGCTTCAGAAAGGCGGTCAATTTTGAATGAAAATATTTTAACTTGAACGGAATGTAATAAGAAAATTATTATTCAATTACAAATATTTAATTTGCATATTTTTCCAGCTTTCCACCGAAATTAATGGTAATGACTTTCATAAAAAAATTAAGTTTCCGTTACAAACTACATATATAAAATAAATTACATTTAACCAATATCCTTATATTTCTTTAATTAAACTCAACTGGCGTTAAATTGGCCACCTCGTTAATAAATCATGGAACCTAATAAACGTGCTTTAGACTTAGAGGCTTTTAGGAATTTTTATGAATAAAATTTTAAAGAATACAAGATTATGTTGACTGAATTGAATAATATAATATTGAAGGGCAAATAATATAATTAGGGCTCATAAAAGGCAGACATAATGAAACATAAGGCGCAGTGAAATATTATAACTATTACAACATATTAAATAATTAAAAATAAATCCACTTACCCGTACGCCATTATGTTGATTTTGACGCATGATTGAGTAGGGCTGTTCAGTGCGTTCCAGTGCGACACTATCAACGGATCTTTCACCTGTTATTTATAAATTATCTTTGTTAGTAAGGTTTGTCAATCATCATCATCATTCGAGCCTATAAACCCACTATACAAAAGCTTGCTGCTCTAAAAAAGCCTACTCAAAAAAAAAACTCGGTCCTAAACTGCCTGTAAATTATCGTGAGGCGGCTAGACCGAAAAACTACACTCTCATAACACACCGGAATAAATAGCGACATAATGTGGCTGTGTTTTGTACAGGGCATGACGAGAACCAAAGACCTTTTTTACTGGTGACGAAGAAAAGGAGCTGATATTAACGAATTTCAATATTTACTCTAATGTAAAATAAATATATAAATATTGTAACGTCACTACCGGCTAAAAACGAAAAATTTGAATATTCATATACAATAAATGTACTTCTACTGACTACAGTCAGAAAGCACTCCTAGCAAATAATATATTGTTATGGTTTTTGAGTGTTGTATTGGTATTATTACCATAAAATAGTCTATACCACCCCAGAGACCAAGTAGAATCTAATATCACCACACACTTCAAAACCCATTAGATATTTTATATCATAGGAGCTCAAAAAGGAATATAAATAATATACACATACATAAATACATGCATCTGAAACACATTAACCGCCTTCTGAGACATTTGAGAAAATACTGAAAATCCATGTACCTCTTTTGCAATAGTATCTAGTACATATTCGCTGCGCCTTCGCATGAAGAAATGTTGTGCTTGTTGGATTATCTGCTCGAGCAGCGACTGCTCCTTGCTCATCTCTAGCAGCTCGTACCGGTCTGCTGCCATGGGACCTGATGAAATATTTTACATATATTAGGGAATCCATCACTCCATATCGCCTCGTGTGTGTCGCAAGGCGACTATAGAAAATGCCAAAAAGATTCATAATTATAATATCCAGTATCAAACATCCAGACCAGCGATGGGAGCCGCGTAAAAGATAAGAGACGTCTCGTACTGTGATTGTCAGTCTGCTTCCTATGCGTGGCGTATATGGCAAATTGCATGTGAGAATCATATATTTCCAGTTCCAGATAATGAAGAAGAAAGAGAATAAATTAAATGAAAGAAACTGCCATATCTTAGAAATAAGAGCTTAATTTAAAAAAAATATATAACCCGACGATACTGTCATTACAGTTCATGTTATTTATTTATTATATGAAGTAGTGTTATGTTAGTGCACGTTCTTTTTTATAAAACTGAAGTGGCAAACAAACTACTACTGGACTGTAATAGTCACTACTGGTGACTATCGCACCAAGGACACCTGCAGCCTATTTCAAACAAAGAACGCTACAGACGCGTTGTCACCTCTGAGGACTAAGAAGTGGCAAAGCCAGGGCTCCAAACTAGGGCAAGCCCAAGATATGGTTTTGTTGTTTTTAGCAGTTTTATAAAAATACACCAATCTTGATCTGTCTCCACTCTTTAGTTTCATATTCAGTGCTGTCAAGGACGTGTTTAACAAAGCAAACAGAAGGTACACTACCGCTAGATAGATTGTATGACATATGCAATTGCATAACTTCGGTGGCTTTGAAAAGAGCCGTTTGGGTTTGCTTGAGCGAAAGAAAAAGATATTTACATACAATACAATACATAAACAAAAGAAAAGCATGAACAAAGTACAAACAAACTATGTACAAAATTAAAAAAGGGACGCCTGGCAAATGTGAAACATCGAAATTATTTTGTTTAAGTTATATGTATAGAAGAACAGATTACGACAGGAATTAGATATGGTATAATGAGATTATAAAGCTTTGCAATTTTTTTTACCATAAAATAATGACTATTTATTATATAATTATTTATTTTCAATTTTAATAAACCGTACAAAATGATATTTTTAACTCTTAAGGTAATATAAATATTAAATTAGCCGATAGCGTCTTTGTGCCATCTAGCGTAATCTTTACGTACCACCGTGAGAATCAATCAATTTTCGTTTAATAAAATGACTTCACCTATAGAATTAAGTAGATGGCGCTATTAAAATGTTATATACTGAACTGAAGGACTAAAGGAAATATTCTTTAAAAACCTCAATACATGTATTCATTTAATTTATTACATCAAAATTTGGGCTTCACATTAAAGAAAAGATTGTAACAATTATTTCCTATAAAATTAAACTTATACCTAGGTATCTCATATTTTATGCTGCAGTTCAAAATGATATTTTCAACTCATATGGTAATATAAGTACAATATCCAGCGATAAATATTGCACATCGACCTTTGGAAAGAGACAATCAGCTAATTCCGGTTTCGTAGAGCTTTATCTCTGTTGCACGAAATACAAACAGTCCGTCAGTCAGTGTTCGACAGAGATAACGCTCTACGAAGCGGAAATTAGCCGATTGTCTCTTTTCAAAGGTCGATGAGCAATATTTATCGCCGGGTACTGTATTGAGTTATTAAACCTTTAAAAACGCCTAGAATAATTAAACTTTAATACTAAAGGGTCCTGTACTTATTAAAGTATGAAGAAATGTTTATTGAATTAAAATTTCATTTTTAAAGATTTTACATTTTCCTCGCGGGTTATCACTTTAACACACTTATATTCATCACAAGGAACATTATTATCCCATTTTCACTAAATATATTTGAAAAAGCATAAATTTTAACAGACACAACAAAAACAAACCTTGAAATGTGAACTTGCAAACGTATCGCCCGCAAACCTCACTCGCTAACGCACTCCTAAACAACTTTAGGGCAAAGCCCAGCTTTTGGTTCCATAGTGAAGTGCAGTTCACACAGCGCTCGGTTCGCAAAGCACTCCTCTCCCTGGACATCCACAAGTCGAGTGGGCCTGACGGAATCCCCCCAATTGTGCTGAGGACGTGTGCTCCAGAGTTGCCAACGGTTTTAACACGTCTCTTCCGGTACTCCTACTCCCTAGGCGTAGTCCCAAAATCATGGAAGACGGCTTTCGTCCACCCGATCCCTAAAAAAGGCGACCGCTCAGACTCGTCCAACTACCGGCCTATCGCCATCACCTCCTTGTTCTCCAAAACAATGGAGTCCATTGTAAACTGCCACCTCATGAGGTACCTTGAGGATCACCAGCTGATTAGTGACCGCCAATACGGTTTTCGCCGTGGTCGGTCAGCCGGCGATCTTCTGGTCTACCTAACTCACAGATGGGCAGAGGCAGTAGAGTCCAAGGGGGAGGCATTGGCCGTTAGTTTGGACATTGCGAAGGCCTTCGATCGGGTTTGGCACAAAGCGCTTCTTTCGAAGCTCCCCTCCTATGGGCTTCCCGAGAAAGTGTGCGATTGGATCACCAGCTTTCTTGAAGATCGGAGCATCAAGGTTCCACAAGGCTGCGTACTATCGCCAACGCTGTTTCTTCTGCATATCAATGATATGTTGCAAACCCGTAACATTCATTGCTATGCAGATGACAGCACTAGTGATGCTCTTTACACCGGCCGAGCCAATATTTCTCGGGAAAACGTCTCCGAGGGGGCGACTAAATCTAGTCCAGTTTAACCCCCAGAAGACACAAGTTTGCGCGTTAACCGCTAAAAAGAACCCCTTTGTCGTATCTTCTCAGTTTCAAGGCACTCCCCTTGTTGCCTCAGCCAGTATCGGAATCCTCGGCGTCGACATATCGAGTGACGTGCAGTTTCGTGGTCACTTGGAAGAGAAGGCCAAATTGGCCTCTAAAAAGCTTGGCGTGCTCAGCAGAGCGGGACAGTATTTCATGCCGGCACACCGCCTGCAATTTTACAAGGCGCAGGTTCGGCCGCACATGGAATACTGTTCCCATCTCTGGGCTGGGGCTCCCCAGTACCAGCTCCTTCCACTTGACCGCATCCAGCGCAGAGCGGCTCGAATCGTCGACGACCGAGTGCTTTCCGATCGGCTCGATTCACTGGCACTGCGAAGAGATATTGCATCTCTTTGCATTTTCTTTCGCATATACCATGGAGAGTGCTCTGAGGAATTGTTCGGATTAATCCCAGCCGCCAAATTTCGTGAACGCACTACGCGGCAAACGTCCCGATATCATCCACACCATCTGGATGCTTGGCGGTCCACCACTGTACGTTTCAAGAGGAGTTTTCTTCCGCGTACAACCTCTCTGTGGAATAGTTTACCACCAGCGATTTTTCCGGACCGATACGACCTGGGGACCTTCAAGAAAAGAGCTTACTCCTTTCTAAAGGGCCGGCAACGCACCTGCAATTCCCCTGGTGTTGCGGTTGATTATGGGCGGCGGTAGTCACTTAACATCAGGTGAGCCGCATGCTCGTTTGCCCCCTCTTCTATAAAAAAAATAGTAATTGCTATAGAAACATTTCGTAGTTATATTTCATTATAGAACATTTTGCTACAGGTTAGAAAGGGAGCGATCCGTTCCGTCCGATCAACTCCTTGCTTTAATTAGTTTTGACAGTCCAGTGTATTTCGAATTGAAAGCAAACTGCCAAGTATTGACGTTACATATTATATGCTACGAGGTCATGTCCTGCCTAGAAAAGAGGAGCGCGCAGGAAATTTGAAATAGTTTGAAACAGTTTACGAGTTATTTTATTAGTTGATATTATTGATCGAGCTGTTTGATACAGCAAGCCCGGCTTCTTCTATGGAGGCTTCGCCACTGGGACTAAGATGGAATGAAAACAAGTAGTAAAATTAAAAAAATTTGTACAACCGATTTCAATATAAATAAAATGCGAACATCATCAATGTAGTCAAAGTCAATTAAATACGCATTATTAAGGATAGCTCCAAAACTACTGCTCAGATCTTAATCAAATTTATATGGGCGCACACAAGACGCATCAGCTTTCAAATAAAAATGGATCATCAAAATCGGTTCACATAGAAAAAGTTCTGAGGTAACACACACAGAGGATACCTGCAGAGTTACTTTTCTTTTTCGAACCTTAATTTGAAACGGTAGTAGATTATAAAATATGTAGATGTTTAACAAGCAAATGTTTAACTCCTTACGTCGAAAAATAAAGAGTTTTCATCTACTTTCATTCAAGGCCTCACAGTCTGTAATTGTACTGGCTCAATATACTTCAGACTGGAACACAGCAGTGAAAGCACTACTATTAAACGGCAGAAATAGAGTCCTAACACATAGATGTAGCTACCACACCACCAGTAGATGTAAATGTTGTGACATAGACATTGTAGAGTATTATTGCTGTATTATTGGGTGCATTTTGTGGTACATGTTATTGTATCATGGTGGTATATGTTGTTATGTCATTGTGGTGCATAATATTGTGTTATTGTATTGGATGTTTATTGTGTCACAGTGGTATAGATCGTCTAAGCTGAAATGACGCGCCCCACTATCGCATTAACGCACACAAGCAAATTTAAAATATGGACGCAATACATATACAAATGCCATTGTAATTGGTCATTCGGTTTTTGGTGAGACTCAAGCGTAGGAGCACGCGTCGTTCGATTGTAAAAGTACCGTCAGCATGTCGACCAAAAAACATTTACGGAGTCAAGTAAGTAAAATAATACGTTATTGCTTAAAATCTTATTTAATCATACATCGTTTTTATGGTGGTTTACATGCATACATTTTACAGGCAAAAGAAATTACTGCGAAAGTGTACCGCAGAATGAAATATGAAGCGGAAAATGGAGTGGAAAAACTATCTGACGCTAGATGGCGAACTGCTCAAGCCGTTGGTGTTAGTGAATCTACGATTACACGAATTTTGAAAGAAGAGAAGCAAGCTAGTACATCAAATGATACGTCACAAAAAATTTTTAGATCGCCCTCAAAACCAAAAAGGAAGCGTACCAAGTCTAACCTGGATGATTTTGATATGGGTATACTTCGCAGAACGATAGCGACATTTCATACAGAATTTAATGAATTACCAACGTTAAGAAAGCTGAAACAAGTATTAACAGAAAGAATTGGTTTTAACGGTTGTATAGAAACTCTGCGTATCATTTTGAAGGAATCGGGCTACGAGTGGTCCAAAATAGATGACAACCGTAAAGCTTTAGTAGAAAAGCATGATATCCAAATGTTACGCTTTCAATATTTGAGGCAATTAAAAAAATATCGTGACGAGGGCCGCTATATCGTATACACAGATGAAAGTTATGTTCATACAACACATCTGCAAAACATGTGCTGGAAACCAGTCAAAGGAGTATCAGCAGTGCAAAAAAAGTTGTCGAAAGGTACTCGGGTCATTGTTCACGCTGGTGGATGTGAAGGATTTGTTCCAAATGCTAGTTTGGTGTATAAAGCAAACTACACAAGTGGAGATTATCACGACAACATGAATCTGGATAATTATAAGAAATGGCTCACCACACAATTACTGCCCAATCTCCCGGTAAAGGCTGTCATCGTTGTGGATAACGCTTCTTACCACAATGCTTTATTAGAAAAAGCTCCCAACTCCAACTCAAATAAGCAAGTCATGCAAACGTGGCTTGCAGAAAAAAATATTCAGTTTGACGAATCAATGAAAAAAATTGAACTGTACGATCTTATTTTAAAAAATAAGGACAGATTCAAGAGGTTCGTTATTGACGAACTGATTCAATCAAAAGGGTTTGAAATTCTACGACTACCACCTTATCACCCGGAACTAAATCCAATTGAAAATATATGGGGGATATTAAAAAACTACGTGGCTAATAAAAATGTTTCACAAAATTTTACATCCATTATGTCACTTATAAATGAACGACTCGAAATGATTGATAGTACTATGTGGGCAAATGCATGTCGGCATGTTGAAGACACAGAAAAACAGTATTTGCAATATTTTGACATGGACTTTGAATTTATTATTTCTGTTAATGACTCTGATTCAGATGAAAGTGAATCTATGGAGATGAGTGAATAGTGATACTTTACATAATTTACATGCATATTATTATAGTAATTATACTAATTTGTAAAATAAATATTTCGAAAGAATATCAATCTGGTTTAATTAATCTACATAATTACAAAATAAAAACAATATATTTTGAACCATTAATTAACAAATAGAAGAAATACCATCATAATTAAATAATTTAACTTCAATTTCTTTGTAGACCGTATTTGCTAAGAAGCGGATTTTATATATATAATATATATATATATATATATATATATATATATATATATATAAACACTCACGCCTGTCACCCAGAGGGGTAGGCAGAGATTACGGACTTCCATTTGGCACGATCCTGACATACCTCTTTCGCCTCCTTTACATCCATATATCTACGCATACATGCTCGTCGGTTAAGGGTACTTCTAACGTGGCCCATTTTCAAAATATCGCCAATTTGGTCGACAAACTTTTTTCTAGGGCGTCCCTTCCCGACTCGGCCGTTCACATCTGCCATATAAATTTGCTTTGTCACTCTTTCATCATTCATTCTTTCTACGTGACCAAACCACCGAAGCATTCCTTTCTTAATCCTGGTCACAACATCATCTTGCATACCACATTTATCTCTTATCACGCAATTTCTCACCCTGTCATTCAGATTAAACCCTAGCATATTTCTTAAAGAACGCATTTCTACAGCATTTATTCTACTTTCGTGCTTCTTCTGCCACACCCAGCTTTCACTACCATACATTAACGTAGGGACTAACACAGCATTATGAATTACCATACGTGCCTGTTTTGACACATTCTGGTTCTTCATAATAGAGTGTAGTGCCCCATTCACTCTATTCCCTGCATTTACTCGTCGTTCTATATCCCTATCATATCTACCATCCCTGCTAAATACACATCCCAAATACACAAACTCATCCACTTGCTCAATTAACTCTCCTTCTATTCTTATTTCACATACCGTTTTGCTTTCTTCTCTTTCAAAAACCATCACTTTCGTCTTACTTGCGTTCACTTTCATTCCCCTTTCTTTTTCTTTCTACAAAAAGCGGATTTTCTTGGATTTTTTGTCCAACTTGTCATAATTGCCTGAAGGTAGCAGAGAGCGGACGTTTTGTTTCATACAATGCCCCAACGCTGCTCCCTAAGGAGAGCGTTGTCGGATTTATCACGCGACTAGTCGACCGTCACGTAGGCATACAGATAATAGTTCGCGGAGCAGTCGACGCTCAAACACAGATGAAGCGTCGTTATTAATATTTACACTCACACATCGAAATCAACTAATTAAGTAGTGGGGCGCGTCATTTCAGTTTAGACAAGCTCTACATGTTGTTGTGTAATTGTGGTGCATAATGTGGTGTCATTGTGGTACATGTTGTATCAGGGTAGTACATGTTGTTGTATCATTGTGGTACATGTTTTTGTATCATTGTGGTGCATAATGTGGTGTCATTGTGGTGCAGAATGTTGTGTTAATGTGTTGCAGTATGTTGTGTCATTGTAGTACACGTTGTTGTATCATTCTGGTGCAGAATGTTGTGTCAATGTGGTGCAGAATGTTGTGTCATTGTGGTGCATGTTCTTGTATCACGGTGGTACATGTTGTTGTGTAATTGTGGTACATGTTGTTGTGTCATTGTGGTGCAGAATGTTGTATCATTGTGGTGCAGAATATGGTTTGACATTGTATATGTTGTCGCACCTGCGAGTGAACGTCGTTTTGATGGTCCTAGCGGGCCGGTCGCGGGGTGCGGGAACGGGTGATGCGTGTTGTTGTGGTGGACGGCGCGCAACAGTTGATGGAGCGAATGCTCTAACACATGATCATGTTCTGATTTACCGCTCGAACCCTCAGTCTGTACAAATATAAAGAAATATTTCAGTTTTATGGAAATTAGCAGGATTTCTTTCATTTCAAACAACCCATTAAAGGGTAATTACTGTGCTCCAAATTGTCGTCACTTGAAACAGAAACAGAACATATTGATAATTTGCAAGAACGGAGTGACCACATTCTAATAATTTGTCTAATTAATTTGATGGAATAGTTGTCAATGCATATTAGGAGTTATAAAATAAGAAAATAATGTGAATAAAAAAACTAATTTCTGAATTCTAAAAATGCCTAAGTTTTTCAAATATCGTGAATTTTCAAATAAACATAAGCTTTGTTTGAAAACTTAAGTTAAAACAGCTTTGTTTATGTTAAAACTTAAACTTCTTCATTTATCTATAAATATTTTAATTTTAAACATACTCAGGTAACAAAACAAATCTAAAATTCACTGTACACTAGCATACACTTATATATTTTTATTGTATTTTAATTATAATACATAAACAAATGATAATATTATCATTTGTTTATGTATAATGTATATGTATATTAGTGCATACTATTATTATTATTGGGGTATTCATAGAGTATTCTCATTTGGTTGGACTGAATAAATATATAAAAGGAAACAATAAATATACATAAATAATATACTAACATAAATAAATAATACATAAATAAATAAAAGCCAAACCAGATGGAGGCCCGCGGCAGAGGAGACCAAACGGCCGAGGGTTAGGGTGAAAGGGAAATAAACCGGTGGACGATGCGGGCGGTATCGAGAAACACCGCCTTCTGCATTTGAGCCTGGAGCAGTCCGTCAAGGAGTCCCAGCCGCCTTAGATAACCCGAGAGGCGAACTGGTAGTGTATACACCACATGTCGGTCACCTCGTGAACCAGGTCCAGATATTTTGTTTGCTTATCTGTATCGGCTTTTACGAGGTTTTCGTCATACGGAATGGTAATGTTGACCAAAAATATCCTTGACAGTGCCCGTTCCATCAGCACAATATCAGGCTTATTCGCAAGAATAGTCTTGTCTGTGATGATAGCCCGGTCGCAGTAGAGCCTGGCGCGGTCATTTTCGAGCACGGCTTCCGGCAAGTACTTGTAATATGGCAATTTCTGGTCCACGAGGCCGTATTTCAAAACGAGCTCCTGGTGTAGAATTCTGGCTACTAGGTTGTGCCTGTGCAAGTACTCAGAGTTAGAAAGCGCCGAACAACCGGAGATAACATGCCTAAGTGACTCACCGTGATGGCGACAAGCTCGACAGACGTCGACGGTACCATCCTTTTGGATGTATCTGATAGTCTAAGACCAACATCTTAATAACCTGATCCTGTACTTCACAGACAAAACCTTCGGTTTCGGGGAAATATAGAGTAGACAGTTGAGGGAGGCGAATGTATCAATGAAGGGCTCATGTAGAGCCCTGTAGCACCTCTCGTGGAGCTCCTTCTTCTTCCATATGGTCTCCCGGTCGGAAATGCTATATACTGCCTGGTCCTGCCATTGCTTGTTGGCTAAGGATAGAGGGGTAAGCCCATTATCACTAGAAATGACGTCATTATAGAACGGATTTTTATACGTGGTAGAGCCATGCTGCAATTATATTAGAAGTATAGTTGTAGCACGAATGGGTCGGCTCAACCGGGGAAGGAACACGCTCTCACAGAAAATAGTAGCTTAATGCTGCTGTATTTCGTATGGTGAGTGTAGAGAACCGGAGACCTTTTTTACTGGAAACCAGGCATTCTATCTTAGCCCTCACGGGTGACAACGCATCTGCATTTTGATTCGTAATCGAGGATAGATGTAGATGTCTATGGGCCACAGCAACCACTTACCATCAGGTGGATTGTGTGCTCGTTTGTCACCCTGTTCTACAAAAAAAAAACAATGGATGACGTAATGACGGAGGCTGCACAGTTCGCGATTATGCATGGTCAGCGCGCTCAGAAAACCACACCCAACATGCTTTCGCGGTAAGTACAGCCTCATTTCCGACGATCTCGGATGATGCATCCTATAGGACGTCATGGTAGTGCGGACTTTTCTATCCAGGACGTTAAGTTCAGTCTGAGTCCACCTAAGTATTCCAAAGGTATACATGAGGACAGGCATGACCCAACCGTTATATAAACCCAGCCTCGGAAAGGGTCCTTAAGTTGACGGGCATAAATAAGTCTATGCCCTCAGAGTTAGCAACCCTTCCCCTTTCAACATGTAGGGCCGCAAACTTATCTGTCCTCAGCTCCATTCCGAAAGAATTGCTAAATTCACAAGTGATGATGAGCAATTCCATAAGGGGCCGTTCATTAATCACGTGAGGCTCGAAGGGGGGGTGGTGGATTGAAAAAAAATACGAAATATTTTTCGTCAAACGCGCGATTACTAAATCGAAAAGCGTCGTGTAGTGTAGGTAATGTGACCTTGACTCGCCTGGACATGTAATTTCATATCACATGAATAAAAGTCTAGAGATGCACAATATTCGTCCTTCACGCATCCTCACGCGACGATCGAGAGGGATTCTCTGTATAGTGACCGACCTGACCTGAAACCGACGCTGATCTTCAACAAAGCACAATGGCAACAACTGACTTGAAAGATGCGTATCCTTATGTTAATGTTGAAAAAAAATCTCGCTAATTCGTGGTCCGAGGTCCGATCTTATTACACCATTTCTTTAATATTATTTTTATGCCAGTCAAAAACAACCTGCAACCTTTGTGTCTAGACATTTTTATCACGGTCCTTAATTTCAGAATAAAACTAGATTATACTTTATAGGTACTTAAAAATACACATGATTTTGGTTGGGGGGAGTGGGTTAGTCTTAAACCTCACCACGTATCACCAAGAGGGAGAGAGGGGTATTAAAAAAAGCTAAAAAGATATCACGTGATTAATGGACGGCCCCTAAAGTGGGAGGGACTGGTGGCGAACAACTTGAGGTTGTTCATATAGAAATTATTTTTATATATATTAATTATTATTATTATAAGCCAGTGCTTGATTACCATACCACAGAAACAGAAACTTTTTTTATTCAATGTAGATTATAAACAATACTTATTGAAAGTCAATTTTTTCATTTACCACTGGTTCGCAAAAAAACCTCTGTCCTGGAAAGAATCAGCAAGTAACCCAGGGGGACTATTTTTTAAAAAATAATAGCTTACAATCATGTTTACAATAAACAACACAAGACAAATTAGAAATAGCTTGGTAGTGATCACCCTTTCCAGGGGTTATTATCATCCATAAAGTCCTTAATATTATAACCCTTTTTATACAAACATAGTTTAATAAAATTTTTGAACTTTGATTCTTCTTTATCCACCTGGTGATAAGTACTGTTGCAACGGAAGATGGTAAAACAAACTGACTTAGCTTAGCAAAAATCTATTCCCTCTTGTCTTGAAGACACCCACATTATAATCGGATGAAAAGACAGATGCTGGTGGATGATTCCACTCCTTTGCTGTGCGCATTATGAACGACGAAGCGAACCGTTTAGTTTCAATGTGTCGTTTGTATGTATGCCAATGTACACCATTATATAAAAAATTACCTTAACTCCTTCAGGATTAGCATTACTGTTATTTTGGCCGTTATTGTGGCACAGACCAATTAACAACTGGATGCCCGGTAGAACCTAAAAAAAGAAAAATAATTTAGCTGTACTATGACTTATCTGACTCATTTTCATTGAGAAAATTGTAAACAACATAGAAAAGGTACAATAAATCATGCTCTACATCAAATTGACTTCTAGTCAGTATATATAGTTAATATAAGTTTTTATTATTTAGAATATTGTATCTTTATAATATAATGCAGAAACTTACTGTAGCCATTATCTGATTTCCTACCACCATATGTGGTATAGTAGCATCTAACTGGACGGCTTCAGCCGCAAGGCGAGCAAACAGCTCCTTGCAAAAAAGAACATTCTGTGCTGCTTCTAATTTTTGCTGCCAGTGTAGTTCTGCTCCATCACCAGGAAGTGTTCCAGGGCAATTCAGTGCTGAAGAGCTTAGGGTTGCTGTCACTACATCTTCTTGCTCTATAATCAAGGGTAACTAAGAATTTTTTTATGCACTACATAACTACCACTTGTCACATCATTATCTAAAATTATAAATGTATAATAAAAAATTACATTATGTGTAACTGAACATTTGTGTAAAATTGTTCTAAATAAACGACTTTGTACTTTGAAAACTTTACAAAAGGCGAAATAAAAGCTATATAATGAAGCTATTTATAAAAAAAGTTAAGCTGTAGGATAATTTACCTTTTTTGGCAGAGAACTGAGATAAAAGCCACCCCTTGTAACTCTGGAGGGACTGTAACTCTCAATGCAGATGGAGCCGGCCCAGATGCATTCATACTCATAGCTTGTGCTATCTGTTCTTCTGGTGCTTTGGTAACCTGTAAGATAATGTTAAAATAACATTTTTGTAAGATAATATTTGATAGATAGCAGTAAGGTAACCTATAAACTTATTCAAGGTTTTAATTTCTTTTTTTATTATGTAGAGAAATATTTATACAGGAAAATACTTTGATTGAAAAATTTTAAAAAATATATTGAAATTATTTGCAGCATTATAAGTCTTTAAGGATCCTGAGACAGATTTTGTATGAGGGTCACTATTTTTAATTGGTTAGATTTAGTTTAGCTAAATAGCTGAAAAAGTTTTAAATAGCTGTAATTATACTGGCCCTTTGTACCCTTCAGTGCATGCACTGCTATTTGGAGGCAGAAATAAGCTTATTTATTAAATAAAACTAGTTTTTACGGATTTTATCATGTGTATAACATATTATTTTATATTAAAATTATTAATTTTTTATGAACGTGACCATGGGTGCTGTAAAGTGCTCATGGAGAAAAAAATTAAAAATAAGAAATACATCCTAAACATTAAAAATGTCAAGCTTATTCAAGTCAGTCAATGTTATAATAGCCGAACTAAATCTTCATAATAAGAAAAAATTACCTCAAAGACTCCTGTCTGACTAAATTTAGAACCAGCAGTTCTATAACTTAAGTCCCCAACAATTGTATTGGAGACTTTTTTTAGTCGCCAGTTCTGTCTAAGACGCAACAGGTCTATGTGAAAATCTGGCATATTGCGGGTCATTCTCATGGTCTCACTAGCTCGCAGTCGTTCAACACCAGCCAAGAGAACAGCTCCAGCAGCACCTAATGCTTTCTTACGCCCATACACTTGTACCATTGGTCTGCTATCTACTGGCTCAGCCTGAATTGGATCAAGCACCTGTTTGAAATGAAATTATAGGTTAATGATGCCAAAACCAATAATGCCCTCATGCAACCAATTAGTAACGCCACAATATATGAAAGTAATACTTCTGAAGTGCTGAAACTCAATTTATAGCATATCTTCAATTTCACAACCCAACTTAAATAGCATAATTATATAAGACAGTTGTGCACGTCTGTAAAGGCATAATCTCACTGTTCAATGTTATCATATAAAATATTATGTTTATTGATGTTGATTTAATAATTTTGTACATAAAGTAAAACATATTTAAAATTGATATTATTTTAAAAATACAATAATAATTGTGATACCCAAAACTTTTTTACTATTTCAGAAAAATATCATCATCATTATAGTACATAACATAATATTAATATGTAGTTATATTATAGTTGTAGCACGGATGAATCAGCTCAACTGGGGTAGGACCATGCGCTCACAGAATACCAGTGTAATGCTGCTGTGTTTCATATGGTGACCGTAGAGAACCGGAGACTTTTTTACTGGAATCGAGGCACTTCATCTTAGTCCTCATTAGTGACAGCGCATTTGCATATTGATTCTTAATTGAGAATCAATGTAGATGTCTATGGACCACAGCATCCACTTATCATCAGGTGGACCGTGAGCTTGTTTGTCACCCAATGCTATAAAAAAATAGTATATCAAAATACTTTATTTATCTTTTTTATTTTTATTTCCCATATGGTTTTAAAATAATAACCAATAATGTACAATATTTATTACTATAGTATGTGCCAAATCGATTGAGAAAACAGACAATGACCTTTCGGTCGTTTAACATTTTTCACGATGTACCATAAGATTTTACGATGTTTATAGGAACCACAGATAATATTACTTAAGAAACAAAATAACAAAACATATGTGCTGTGCTGCATATAACCTAGAAGTGTGAATATCAATATTTAAATATTGTTATCACATCTAAATTGAGATTTTGTAAGTTACGCCTTTTGACACTCAGCTCATATCTGAGGTCATTGTCCGTTTTTCTCATCGATTTGGCACATACTATAGAGATAAATTTTAATACAGTTTATAGTATAATGTCAAGAATATTGTATGTATCACATAATTAATTGTTTAAAATAAATTTTTAATATTTTCAACTTGAAGATAAAGCATAAAATAAAATCTGTTGCCATATTCATATTAAACTATTTCGTGAAAAACTAAATAAAAAAATGTTTATTATTCAGTATTCTTTATACAAAATTGGTATACTGTCTAATGACATGAAAGATAAATTTAATATTCATTGTTTTACAAGTCTATAAAAACTAATATACACTAACTTACCATGTACCTCTTCTCTTTAGCAATGCTTAGGACATCAGCCAGTACACACACTTCAGTAAGGGCATTTCTTAACTTATTTCTAACAGAATCCCATGGCCATAGGCTTGACTGATATCCCGGCTCTTTACTCTCATCTTCAGATTTAATCTCTAAAGTACTCTCTCCCTCTTTTTTAATATTACAGAATTCATCCTCAGTCTTCGAAAAGTCTATCTTTTGTGCAAGTCTTGCGAGGTTTTCTGACATAGATAGTGGTCTGAAAACAGTTTGTTTTTGTAATAGATATAGAAATTAACTTGATTTTAAATGAAAACATGTTGTTTACCGTGTTCAAGAGTACTTACGCTTGATATATTTCTTGACCATCGTAGGTGATTTCTTGAATCTGATTTTCAATAGGAGCCTCGATAGAAATATTAACAGAATTGGCCATTTTAGCTTGTAATAAAAATTAGGCGAATCAGTTCATATTTATGTATTGAATATGATGAAGACACTTGTGAATATCTCATACAAATTTTGTTCGTTTTCAAAACGATTAAACAATTTACATAGTATTTCTGTTTTCTTTATAATACAAATAAAAGCTCTCGAAGACGAACAACCACAGGACCCATCAGGCCATCAGCCATACAATTAGTACAATTATTTGTATTTGACATTGACAATCAATTAACAGTGCTGCCATAAATTAGTCTCTAAACCAATTCCTAAAATTAATATGTATTGGGCTAAAATCACAAACTAATAAGAGTACTAACGGTCTAAAATTGTCACCAGTAATCACTAAATACAACCCGTATTAGGGTACTCAGGTAGGTTTTTCATTGAAAACGATATATAATATGACTAAAACACAATCATTTATCGTACATACTTATGTAAAATATTTATAATAAAGAAATTAATTAATTTGCCACCTTCCGCTAACTAAATACAATGATGTGTCTTACTTGGATTGAAGAGCACCTCCCGCACCCCTCAGTTGCATGCACCAATCCCGTCACCACTAATCCCAGCATCACTTCTCCCAACACCACTACTCCCGGCACCACTACTCCAGGAAATACACACCATCAACCATTATACGACACGTTTTTCGCCTCTACACGAGGCATCCTCAGGTGATGTAGACTCTACGACGGCTGACCGCTAGCGGTCATTTCTTTATTATTATCGATTACTGCAAAGTAACGCCTGATTCTATCAATTAGTATATTTATTTATTTTATGTTATTTGTTTTGAAATATTATAAATATGGCAATAATAACTAATCTAACCTTAATATGTAATTTTTCTTTACCACACTACCATACTTTCAATCACCACTCGGAACATGAAAAAAGGTACGAAAAAAGTTATGTGTCTAATAAAGAATATAACACATAGGACAAGGTCGAATGCTGTTAGAAATTGCTAGAACCGCAAAATTCACAATACAACAGAATTAAATCACCAAAGAGTAGTCAAAGTTACCAGACCTTGGTGGTAAAATTTCTAAAGTGACAACACTGCTTTAAAACTATCGTCAGTGACACTTTTTTAAGTGATGTAGGTTCACGGCCCGTGCAGCCTAGTCTGACAAATTATATTTTGTTCACTAAGTTATAATATTATCATAACTTAAAGAAAGATTTTAACTACAGCATAGCCAAACAGACAATCAATGATGAATAATGTAATATTAAGATATAGCGCATAATGGCGAACGGCATTTGTCGACGACAGGGAATTTTTTAAAATTATGTGCGAGCAGCTATGCAGGTCTAGGGAAGGAGACCGATATCACTGCGACCTAAAAGATATATTGTGATTGCTGCTATGGCTATAGTTCACTGCTAAGCCCTATATCTTCAATGAATAGAAGGAGTTGCTTAGCCGTGAGCAATTTTCACTTCTTTCCCAGATGAGTGTTACGTTTGCGCATTAAGGGTCCGCAATCAGTTAGGACGTGCAGAGGTGTTTCTTTCGTTATGGAAAAGAACCGACACATCCTTGCGTTGCGTAGTCCCTGGATGAACAGACAACAGTGTCTAGTTAGTGCTCTTGCCAGAATGCGCAATTTATTTTTATTTAATCCCAGGGCTTCTGAAGCGAATTTACGATCAAAAGCCCGGATTAAGGTTTTTAAGCCTGGTGAGTCAGACCAGATCAAGTGTGATTTATTGTGACAAAGAGTTTCAAGGGTCAATCGGGTTAGGCTCTTGAGATTCCACAAAATGGCTCAGGTCCAATTTATGTACTCTTTGAGCCCTCCCGTGCAAGTGCAGAACCCATCTTAAGACTACCCTGTTATTACATCCCAGGGCGTTTAAACGGTTAACGCAGTCTCCAACTAGCTTCAAGTTCACTAAGTTTAACCTCAGCGCTAGCAGGACTCCTTAACTATCAGAGTTTATATAGGTAAATTATATGGTTGACGTAGTGTTTTTGTAGATTGATTTCCGCACACTAATAAAGTATGGCGAAAATTTGTGCGTGGAAGATAGAGGTCAATCTACACAAATTCATACTAAGTTTGAATTTGGGGCATTCACCGTAAATTTCAAAGCCTACATCGACGCCTATTTTAGACCCATCGTTATACCATATGAGGCTACCAACCTCATAGGTAATCTGGCCATTCAGCCAGTTTTCTCTGGAGGGTAATTCCACTATATACTTTTTATCAAAAGTGTATAGTGGACACATAATATCTGAGGCGTTTACAAGTTGGTTTAAGTGACAAAACACTTTTTTCTCACTTAAACCAACTTGTAAACGCCTTAGATCGCTACGAACTGTCAGAGTTGTTTAGCAAAGTGCAATTTGCTAAACAAAAAAACCGGCACGGGGAAAGGGACAAACAATCACACCAGCAAGAGAAATGAAAGCTATAATGGCACAAACACACCACACAAAAACGATCATTAAATGGATTCAATTGCGATGTTTGATCCCTGAACGAAAATAACTTGTATTCTTAATACAAAATTACTGACTTTCAAGGTGGTAAGTACAAAAGATGCTAAATGGCATAAACACACAAACTTAAATGGATTCAATTGCTTTGATTGATAACTTTATTCAATATTATTGACTTTCAAGGTGGTAAATAAAAAAGATGCTAAATGGCATAAACACACACACTTGAATGGATTCAATTGATTTGATTGATAACTTTATTAAATATTATTGACTTTCAAGGTGGTAAATACAAAAGATGCTTGATGGCATAAACACAAAAACTTAAATGGATTCAATTGATTTGATTGATAACTTTATTCTATATTATTGACTTTCGAGGTGGTAAATACAAAAGATGCTAAATGGCATAAACACAAAAACTTAAATGGATTCAATTGATTTGATTGATAACTTTATTTTATATTATTGACTTTTAAGGTGGTAAATACAAAAGATGCTAGATGGCATAAACACAAAACTTAAGAGGGCATATGTGTTTCGCATCGAAAACTACATGTTTTATGGTTTTTCCAAAGGCGATATCGTAACGACGTGAGGAGATTATTTGCTGAAAATTAGGGCTTTAGAAAGATGAAGTCTTTATTTAGTACATAGCAATGCAAAATCATAGTTTTTAATGACGGTTTTTTAGGGCGAAGACAATCCCTTCACAGTGTTTTACGAAAATATGCATCAGAGTTATCTTTCAGGTTGAATACAACCATTATTATAAGCTAAAATACTTTATTTTAAGCATTATTATAACGGAATATATAGTCTTTTAGTGTATAGCAAAACCTAAATTACGAAAATATTTCGATTTCATATTATAAAAAATATTATAAAATCACCAAAACTGTCTACTTCAATGTAATTTTTTCCATGTATTTGCTTATAAACATATCTATTTTAATTATTTTATTAAAATACATGTAATGTTAAATATCCAAAAAAAAATTTAGTTTCTTTTATTTTGTAAATTATTTTATATAATTATTTTAAAAATACTATGAAACATCATGCGCAGACGCCGTTCGATTCAGTACGCTCCGGGTAATCCCAACGACAGGACGTATTACTTTTTTCTCACCAACACCGCGCGATCGCGTTGATACACCGATAGGGCTACCAATATTACGCCGTTCCAAAGCGATCGCGTAGATTTCGACTTGGACATATTTGAATATGCGCTCTTAAATGGATTCAATTTATTTGATTGATTACTTTATTCTATATTATTGACTTTCAAGGTGGTAAATACAAAAGATGCTAGATGGCATAAACACAAAAACTTAAATGGATTCAATTGATTTGATTGATAACTTTATTCAATATTTATATATTTTATTTATTTAATAAATTTGTTTACTTTTAAATTTCATTCCTAACAATACAAGATTTCATCGTACTGATTGATATAATTTTTTTGTTTTTAGGCCATCTAGTATCTATTGTGCGTACCACCTTGAGAGTCTCAACAATCTCTATATCATACAATAAACTCTAATCTAGGCAATCTTCAGCGTTGCATCAGTTTACGACAATCACGAGGCACCGTATAAGCATAACATGTCTACTGTGTTATATTACCTGGTTCTGATATTTTACCGTATGAATTCATTCTAGATTCAAACTTCGAATTAGAGTCACCTGTCTTCGTTGTAATAATTAATTGTAATAATTATTGTAAATTAAATATATATTAAATAAAAACTGCTTTTTTTGCAACCTCTGGCTGGAGCCCACATAATAGGCGCAGTCGAAGATCCTACCTTCTAAAGTTGAATCAAGAGTGACAAAGAAGATATAGAACCTACGGAGCACCAGTCCAAAAGGCGAATCCAGGCATTGATTCCGCAAGAAGAAGTAATGCTGTAAGTGCTTGAATCTTTTAATCCTTACCCTTCCTAGTTCCATATTTAAAATTAAAATTAAAAATTATAAAATCTTAATTTTATAAACATATTTTTATTGCATTTTATTTCGTTTAAACTGTGTTAGTTTAAAGCTTTCAAAGAACTCCAAACGTTAGGTTAGATAGTATTAGGACTTCTAAGCTTAGCATTATAGACGAGAATAGAGGTTCAAAAACCGATAGTATGGCTCAATCAAATGAGATTGATTTAATTTATAAGTCACTTAGAGTTTTGCCTGAATTTGACGGTAACTCGTACATCCTTACGCGCTTTATTAATATGTGCGACTAACGGGTACGAATTAGCCAATTTATCTCTTATTAACGGAATTTTAGATAAAACAACCGAGCCCGCAGCTAGGCTAATAAATTCAAGCGAAAAACCCGAAACCTGAGCCGGCATCAAAAGCACTCTTATAAATGACTTCGCCGAACATTGCGACGAAACTGCATTATACAGCGATTTATCACTACAAACCCAAGGGTCCAGTACCCCGCAAGAATTTTACGAACGAGTTCAAAGTTTATTTAGTACATTAATGACGTATGTCACCCTACAAGAAACGATCGG